ATGGAGGTCAGCTCCACTCACCAAGTTCGTAGAGAACGAGGTGGAGTCCCGACAGTAAGCCCGACGGGGCCGCAGGACACGGTAGAACCGTGGAGGAGTGTGCAAGGACTGGGCCCCCAGAGGGGTCAGCCAGGGAGACTGCAACCGGCCGACTGAGCGGCGTGAGTGTGGTGCTGTCGCGAAAGAAGGAGCGCGAAGCACCTGAGTCAAGTGTGAAGGTGTGCAAGGCCTCAGTAGGTGCAGTACCAGAGAGAGCAGACTCACCAGCACCTGGAGCAGCAGACTCACTAGCACCTTGAGCAGCAGACTCACTAGCACCTAGAGTAGCAGCCTCAATGCCCTGGTCGGGCGGAACACACAGGTAACAGTCACCCTCAGCACTATCAGTCACAGCATACATGGCAGCAAGGATAGCATCGAAATCAAGATCAAAGATAGCAACATTCTGCTTCAGCAGATCACCCCAGCGGGGGAGCTCAGCGCCGTCAGGAAACTGCGCACGCCAGGCGTCAGTCAGGCGACCGAAGCAGCGCTGCGAAGTGTGCGGCAGTCCGCACGTCTCTCCACGGCGCCCGCCTGTGCGAAGAACGTAAGTGCAGGGACCAACACCCCCAGCCCTCCCACGCCCAGTGTACCACTCACGAAGCTGCAGGGGCGAAAGGGTCTTACGGGAACGCGGCTGCTGCTGGCGCTGGCTACCGCCAAAGCCTCCACGCTGTGCGGTACCTCCTCGGCCAGCACCACCACCGCCTCCACCTCCACCGCCACTGCCGCTGCCTCCACCACCTCCACTGCCGCCCCCACTCCCGCCGCCACCCCTACCACCACCACCACCCCCTCCGCCCCCTCCACCGCCTCCACCGCCGCCCCCTCCGTCCCCTCCACCACCCCTGCCCCCCTTGCCCTTGCTGTTGCGGCGCCTCCCACTAGGAGCAGACGCAGCCCCGACCTCCTCAGCGCCAACGAGGTCGACAGCAGCAGCAGAAGCAACAGAGGGGAGAAGGGGGACGGGGGAGCACCCCTCAAAGAAAGGGGCGCGGGGGTCGCCGCGAGAAGCACCTACAGCAACAATACTCTTCTCTGCTGCAGTAAGTCGCTCCTCAAGCAGGTCGACGGTGAGCTCAGTGGGGCAAAGGGAGAGAAAGTGGTCCCTGACTGAAGAGAGAGAGTCAGGGAGACGGTGACTAGGTAGTAGAGAGTGATGTACATGGGGGGGGGGGTCTTGGCACAGAACTCATTGGGAAGCGCAGCGCGGTAGCGGGTGTCACTAGTGCGGAGGTGAGTAATGAGGTCAGCGACTGTGGCAAAGGCAGCAAGGTTAGGGAACAGGTACGGCAGCATGAGGCGGCTGAGAGCAGCAGTGCCAGGGGAGGAGTAGCGCGCGACAACAGCGTCATACAAAGACTTTGCAGTCTTGTACTGGCCAAAGTGCGCGCGCTCAGCAGACGGCAGGTGACTACGAACAGCAAGACGAGCAACAGCGTCACGAGTAGTCCACTGCGAGCGAACCGTACTGACAGCAGTGGCAGCAGGTGCAGGAGAGACACCGGATGTGTGATCGAACAGGGAGACTCCGTCCTTGGAGTCGCACTGGAGAAACAGCTGTAGGTCGTCTACCCAAACCTCGAAGTCAACAGCACGACCCTCAGCATCAAAGGTAAGAACAGTAGGACTAGCCATAGCGGCAGAAGCAGCAGTAGCAGCAGAAGCAGCAGTAGCAGCAGAAGCAGCCGGGGCAGGGCAGTGCGGCTCAGTAGGGCGGTGCGGCTCGGTAGGGCGGCACGGCTAGACTGGGCGGCTCGGCTCGGCTCGGCGGCGCGGCTCAGCTGGGCGGCGCGGCTCGGCTGGGCGGCGCGGCTCGGCTGGGCGGCGCGGCTCGGCAGGGCGGCGCAGCTCGACTGAGCGACGCGGCTCGGCTGGGCGGCGCGAGTGCTTACCAGGGGCGGGTGCAGGGCAGGGCCGCAGCTGGCGATTAGGTCAGGGCCGCGACTGGGGCGGCAGCAGGGCAGGGCCGCGACTGGGCGGCGGTAGAGCAGGGCCGCGACTGGGGCGGCTGCAGTGCAGGGCCGCGACAGTGAGGCCGCGACGATGAGGCCGCGACGGCGGCTGCAGGTGCGTCAGCGGCAGGGCAGGGCGGCGACAGGTGCTGCAGGCGCGATGGCGGCTGCAGGGCAGGGCGCGACAGCGGGCCGCGACGGTGGCTGCAGGTCAGGGGCCGCGACTTGGGGCGGCAGGGCAGGGCCGCGACGTAGGGCGGCAGGAGAGGGCCGCGACGGGCGGCAAAGCAGGGCCGCGACGGGCGGCAAAGGAGGGCCGCGACGGGCGGCGGATTAGGTCGCGACGAGCGGCGACAAGGCAGGGCCGCGACGGGCGGCTCAGGCAGGGTCGCGACTAGCGCGACAGCAGGGCAGGGCGCGCGACGGCGCAGGAGAGGCAGGCGCGACAGCGCGCTTCGGGCAGGTGAGACAGATTCAGTGGTGGGCCCTAAAAAAAAACGTTCCCACAGAGGGAACCTGCTCAGAATACCATGTCAGAATGAGAACGACGGAATGAATGAACTAGCAAGCAGTTGGGTACAAGTAGGAAACCTAGAAGTGTTGTACCCTATATGAACTACCTCACTACAGCCTACACAGACTATAGCATATAAGTTTGACAACTTAACCGTTTGAAACTTGAGAGACGTGTGTGGAGGGAAATGACATTCAGCCCACATTTTGTACTCCAAAACAAACGTTTAGTATGGCTCGACGCTGCCCATTACTACATTACAAGCAGCTGCGCTTTCAAAATACATAATTTTGAATAGCGTTACCTTTTTTTAATAAAGGTGACAGCTTAAAAGACCGCTACCGCCCATTGCTCCTCGCCACTTTTGTTGCGCCAACATTTTGATTCGCATGTGGGTTTCGTGAATCATCCATTTCGCAATTATCGCCGAACCTCTCAACCCCTACCTCCCGAATACTAGGCTTTTGAGTTGACTAGCGTTGAGTAATTCAAAGTTTGGCCTCTAATATGCAGGCGTGCTCCAGCCGTCGTGTGCATGCCCTCGAAACAGGCGTTAAACTCCTCCGAACAACCCAAGCGGCGCAGTGTCTGGAAGAGAAATACCACGAAGACCGAATAATACGCCTTTTAAAAGTCCACCATAAGAAGAAACATGTTTTCCCCGCCGTTCAACTCCACTTTTATTGCAATGCCACCGCCGACACTGCGTCCGCAAGTCTGCTTGCGACCGGGTATGAAGCCGAATAGCTATTTCGATACCACTTTGAGGATACGGCAATTGCAAAGGATTTTCAATTCCTTTAAAAATAGTTTATGCACTCGTACAGCTCCAACTTTTTTGAAGTACATGCTATGTCCAAGAACGTCGCCTCCCAAAGCTGGCACGCATCGCCTTCGGCTTTGGCGTCCCCAGACCAGCACCCAACCTCGACTTCCGAGGTCCCCGCCTAGCTAGGTCCCTCGTTTTATCTTGCTAGGGCCTAAACAATGATTGTAATCATATGCTCACACTACTATTTACAACGAGTAACAATAACTATCTTGATTCTGCTCGCTAGCACTCCGCAACAACCTTGTAAACCGTGTCGATTGCGTTGATAACAGCTCCATTCCCCCCTGCTTAGAGCGACGTCAGGTTGTACCACTTTTTGTACGCCCTCTCCGGTAAATTTCGTTTCAACACGGTGAAGAGCGGTAATCGTCGAGAACCGCTTTTCACCGTGTTGGACCGTCCTGAACCACGATACAGGAACTGTAAGCGGGTGTGAAATGTATAACCTGACGTCGCCCTTATCCATCATTGTCGTGATTGCAGTCCCCACAAAGCCGTGCCGTCCCCACAAAACTGGCCGTGAATCACGGGGCGTATCACACATAGTTGATTTACACCTCCTGCATTACTGTTCAGGCTGTAAGTAGCGGTTCAAAGCGGTGAAGCGAAGTAACCGCTTTGAAACGCGCAACATTGCTGTCAACCGTTTCAATCGAACGGGAGCTCCACCAAGCGTGACACGCCTTCAGAGTTCGCAATCTTCGAGATACAGATGGATCGGGACGCGATGCTCGAATATCTGTGGTATAGATCAACTAATCAGAGAAGTCTGGTTGCGGTGGCTTTTCCCGCCTGCGCCAGCGCCGGCAACAAAGCTCAGTTTTGCGTGAAAAGCACTGTGAAGAAGAATTCGGGATGGATGTTTGGAAATAGTACCATCCCTAGTATTACTAAACACTCGAAATATCTCCCCCGAGAATAGGCCGATGCCAGGCACATAATCTAATATATTATTATGAGAATGGGACGGGATGTGGCAGCAGGAGCGGCGAATCGAGTGAAGCAGCGGCGCCTGGGAGTCCGATCAACAGTCGCCGCCCTTCTGCTGCTCGCCGCGCTGCGGTCCGTCTACGTGGACTTTCACGCCGCGCTCAGTTACTCGCCTCGGGGCAAGCAGCGCGTGCGTGCAGCAGGCAAATGTGCACGCGGGTCTTGTTTCCATTTCCCACTGCTTTGCTTTAGTGCAATACCCATTTTCCATCTTTTCTTTTATGAGCAAGTGTTTTTTAGTGTAGTAATGTCTTAAAACACCCCTCGTTGCAACTCGTCACCTACCCTGGCTCGAAACACGCGATGTGAAACGGACACATACCGTATTAGAATGGTTGGGCACTGTTTGCGGTGTGTATTCTTTATTAACAAATGTTTGCGGTGTGTCAAACCATTGCAGGAGCACGGCCAATGATGTCGCATTGTCCCAGCCTTTGCCGGGTAGGTCAGCTTTAATTTGTCGTCGCTCTACTAGAGGACCGGGGAATTGCATAGCTACCCACTGGCCCTCTACTAGTAGTAGAAGAGGGCCCTGCCTTCTCATGATCTTATCAGCGCTGCGAACGAGTTCTCTCCTTCCCACTCCCGCACCCTCCAACAAACTGCCTTCTCATGATCTTATCCGCCGGACCAACTCTCCTCCTCATCTCCGCACTAGCCTCCGGTCATGGACCACCCCGTGAAGCTGTACCACTCGCAGCGGGAACCGGAGCGGGGACCGCAGCCGCAGCGTGATCAGGGAGCAGCGGGACTGCTTATAACGGAGCAGCAGGCCGGGTCCGCGGACGATGGAGGGGTACACCGAGACTCTGTAACAGGGATGGCGCAGAACGAGTTGAAAAAAGGGCCGGCGGACGCAGGGGAAGGAGAGGAACCAGTGCGCGGGGAGGAGGGAGGGGCGGAGGCGGAGGGGGAGGGGGAGGCGGAGGCGGAGGGGGAGGCGGAGGCGGAGGGGGAGGCGGAGGGGGAGGCGGAGGGGGAGGCGGAGGGGGAGGCGGAGGGGGAGGGGGAGAGGGAGGCGGAGTGCGGGGTGGAGGAGGAGCGGCGGGCGGGGGAAGGGTGGAACGTCACGGGGGCAGCGAGGTTCGGGCGAGTGAAGGTGGAAGGCGCGGGCGCGGAGAGGGCTCTCGCCAACCAGCGCACGTGCTTCTCCGTGACTGGTGGGACTGGAAGATGGTGGGGGGGGGGGGGGGGGGGGGGGATGCGAGGCGCAGTGCCTTCGCCATGACACGGGATTGGTGGGAGTGTGTAACGCCTGCAGTCTGTGCATTCATTGGGCATTTATTGCTGGTTTGCGAACCTCTTTTTTTCTTCTGCTGAACGGCGTTCCAAATGAGTCGCTGCCTCTGAATATCTCTTGCTGTGGCCAACGGTTTATTGACTGGATAGGAAGTGCTTCGCCGTGACGGTTATGATTACAAGCAGACTGCAAATAAGGTGAGGTGCAAGGTGCGGGAAGGAAGGAAATTTCACCCATTCGTAATCTATCCCCATTCGTGGTTTGTCCCCATTCGTAATCTATCCCCATTCGTGGTTTGTCCCCATTCGGAATCTATCCCCATTCGTGATTTGTCTCCATTCGTGAGAGGTCCTTCCACCCACGACCAGGCACCTTAGTGTTTGGATCAGGGCATCTCATGTCAACCATGCTTGGTGCCCTCGATCACCCTGCTGTTGCCCGTGGCAGCATTCGATGAAGCTGGGGACGCGTTCGACGTTGGTTGCAGGTGTGTCAGTAACGGACAGGTGGGCTGCAGAGGCCTTGGAGGGCCAGCTTAGAGAGCCAGCTTAGCCAGCTTAGCCAGCTTAGAGAGCCAGCTTAGCCAGCTTAGAGAGCCAGCTTAGCCAGCTTAGCCAGCTTAGAGAGCCAGCTTAGCCAGCTTAGCCAGCTTAACCAGCTTAGCCAGCTTAGAGAGCCAGCTTAGCCAGCTTAGCCAGCTTAGCCAGCTTAGAGAGCCAGCTTAGCCAGCTTAGCCAGCTTAGAGAGCCAGCTTAGCCAGCTTAGCCAGCTTAGCCAGCTTAGCCAGCTTAGAGAGCCAGCTTAGCCAGCTTAGCCAGCTTAGCCAGCTTAGAGAGCCAGTTTAGCCAGCTTAGAGAGCTAGGGACGCGTTCGACGTTGGTTGCAGGTGATGCGTCCATCACACCTCCGGCTCTCTCCCTCTCCTCTCTCTCCCTCTCCTCTCCCGCCCTCTCCACCTCCCTCCCTCTTTCAACCTCATACCATGCCATCCCTACACCACTGCTACACCCATCTTCCCCTGCCGTGTGCACTCCATCTCCCTCTGCCTCGTCTCTTTGCCTGCCTCTTCAGCCTCGTGCAATCAATCACCCCTCTCCACTCTCCATCGCCCCTCTCCACTCCATCGCCCCTCTGCTTTCTCCTGCAGGCAGCGGGCGTTCTTCGTGGCGCTACTCGCCTTTCACACCCTCGCCAACCGCTCCTCAGAACCTAACGGTGCCGCCTCCTCTCTCCCGACGGAGTCACCCTCTTCCGCCGCTGCCACCGCCACCACTACCACGATCAATACCAACATTATCAGCGGCAGCAGCAGCAGCAGCAGCAGCAGCAGCAGCAGCAGCAGCAGCAGTGCCAGCAGCAGCGGTGGTGGCAAGAGCAGCACCAGTGATGACGTGGCGAGGAGGTGGAGAGCTTTTCGGAAAACGGCAAGAGTGACAGAGGCGCCGGCATGGGATGATGCTGTGAACGGGTGGACAGACTTGCGACTGGCAGCTCGAGTCACGTACCGCCCCGCCTCCTCCTCCCACCAGGTGCTCTCCTCTCTCCCTCTCTCTTTCTCAAGTGGTGCTTCCGTGTTGATGCATGGCTCATACAGCATAGAGGTGACGCCCTTGTAGAAGTGAGAGGAGGTCGCTACTAGACTCTTTCGGAAGTGGGCCGTGGGGTGGGTTGAGCCGTCCAGTCCTCAACCCAGGGGGGTAAGAGGGGCCTCGACTATCCTTCTCGGTTTGTTGGCCGTTGTGTGATGTGAACTGCATTGGCTTGTTTTCCCTGCACTGCACGGCCACTGCCTTTTGAGGCGCCTCGAGATGAGTGCATTGGCTTGCCTTCCCTGCCAGGGAAACAGGTAGTGCCCACTGCCCACTGTCCACTACCCGCCGCTGCCAGGAACAGCGTCCCCCGCACCCTCCCATCCTGTCGCCGCTCATCCCTCCTCCCTTCACCTCTCCCTCACTCCGTCCTCGCCTTCGTTTCGTCCACCCGCCTATCTCTTTCCCCTCCGCCTGCGGCCCACTTGATCACCCCTTGTTCTCTCTCTCCCCGTCCCCCTTCCACTTGTCCTGTGTGAGCCCTCTCGCCTGCTGCTCCTTGTCTTCCCATGTGCTTTCATCCTATGGGCCTCATGCGTTCCCAGGTGTGCTTCACAGCGCCCTTCCCCGGCCCCTACCTCCTCTCGCTGCATCTGCTCGCCACCAATGCCTGTCAGCTGCGCACGGGTCTCAACCGTGCCTACAACCACGGCTACCAAAAGTAGGTGCTTCCTTCTGCGCCTTTTGAGGCGCCTCAAAACTTAACAACGCCTGCGTTCTCTCGCTGCATCTGCTCGCCACCAATGCCTGTCAGACCCGCACTCAAGGTTCAAAAATACGACCGAAATTTTGAAATTTCACCGTATTATACGGTTTTGTATTATACGGTGGTTTAAAACGGTTTAGTACGGTCATCTGTTACATTTATGTTTCGATTAAAAATACGGTCGTTTTTTTTCGGTCGAAATTTTAGAACCGAACAATGTACAATAAATTTCAACATTATAACAATTTCGAGGGTTATATGGGGGATGTCTTGCAAAGTCTTGTCAGTCCCGCCAATGTTTGGGACGAGTCGCGCAAGTCAGCAACATGCCGAGGCGCGACATGTCTGACATTTGACGAAAGGGGGGAAATGCAAACCCGTTTCGCAGAGTCGTTAGGGTCGTTCGCCGCATCGCGCCAACACCAATTTGTCGAGGCGCGACATTTTACAAAATTGGCGAACCCACCATAATTTTTTACCCGTTTCGCTGAGTCGTCAATCGAACTCGCGCCTTGATCTTCAGTATCGCATGCAATCGTGGCGCTCCACACATTTGAGTGCGACACGTTTCCAGCCAATAGCAATCGCACATTCAACTTCCAGCTCATCTCATCCATTCTTCAAACCTCCCGTCGTCAATACAGCACCATCAAGCAGTAAGAGGTACATATTGCTGCTGGAAAAACCCACTCGACACATTCAACCTCACTCTCGCTGCCTCAAGTCTTCATATCACTGATCTCTGACCCACTCGTTCTTAGCATAGTGTTATACGACGCCATGGTGCGTCCCGCTTCGGAGTATTGGGAGCATGACAAGAAGATTAAGGATGCAGACGAGCGGGTATTCGGTGCAACCTGCATCCATTGCACACTTCCTGTGACGGCTAATGCGACTAGGATCCGCGAGCACATATTCGGCACTAACAAGAAGGATAAAAACGTCGCGATGTGCAAGTCGGACTACGCTAAGCAGCGGCGGGCGACAGCCGATCAGGAGCGCTCATCCACGGGAAATGGTTCGGGTGGTACGGGAGGATCAAACCGTGCCTCCACGTCCACGGTGGAAACGACGCCCGCGCGTCGCTCTCGGCAGCGAGATATCCGCGAAATGACGGATGAAGTTGCGCAGACTCGGCTGGATTACCTGTGGGCTGCTGCAGTTGCCGAGAACGACCTCGCCTTCAACGTCAGCAAGTCGAAGTCGATCCAGGCGTTCGTTGACGCGGTGATCGTGTACGCGAAACCGTACACCCTCCCCACCCCGTACAAGGTATCCGGCCCGCTGCTCGACAAGCTGAAGGCGGACTCGGAGGACCTTGTGCGGCCGTTGAAGGACAGTTGGAAGACAAGCGGGTGCACGCTCTCAATCGATGGGTGGACGTGCATCAAATCCCGCGGTTTGGTGTGTGTGATCGCGCTGAATGACACTGCACCCGTCATCGTCGACATCGTCGATTCGAAGATCGCAAGGAAAACCGGGGACTACTTGGCGGGTCTAATTGATGGAGCGATCAAGACGGTGGGGCCGAAGCATGTCGTCCAAGTCGTGATGGACAACGCCTCGAACAACAAGAACGCCGCCAACAAGCTACGCGTGGAGTATCCGCATATCTTCTTCACCAACTGTGCCGCCCACTGCCTAGATCTCATGTTGCACGACATCGGCAACATCCCGGCTGTTAAGCGCGTCCTTGCTCAGGTGCACAGCGTGGTGATGATGATCAAAGGCTCCGCTTCGGCCGTCGTTTTGTTCCGTGAGCTTTTTACCAAGCTCTCGTTGGTGCGGCCGGGTGCAACGAGATTCGGCACCCAGGTCATCATGCTCGGCAGGTTCCTGGAGGTGAAGCGCGCGTTGAGGGCGATGGTTGTCAGCGAGGAGTGGGATGATGTGGCGGTGGCACGGACGGAGGAGGGGATGGAGGTTAGGAAGCTGCTTTTGGATGATGTTTTTTGGGACTGTGGGACGGCCGTGTTGCGCCTCATGACTCCGGTCTACGAGGTTCTTCGTGCCGTTGACACACGGGCTCAACTCATGGGGCAGCTGTACGGCCTCATGCTTGAGGCCACGGTGAAGACGACTAAGGCGGCCGAGGAGGCTGGTAAGTGGGCCGGCGGAAAGCATAATGATGTGGTATAAACATTCATTCTCCCCATACGTCCGCTCGTTCTTTGTTACTAACTAGTTCTCGTTATACACTGTGCGCAGCCGCACACTTCATCAAGCGGACGGGTCTGCTACTGCACAAGGACAAGAGCACCTTTCTCACCGCCATCAAGTCGATCATAGCCAGGAGGTGGGACGCTCAACTGCACAACCCACTGCACGCCCTCGGTTGGCTTCTCAACCCCCGTAACCAGTACATCGCGGAGGTAAGGAACGATCCCGAGATTAGGAAGGGGACGGATGAGGTAATCCAAGCCCGTGAGGGGGATGTGCAGCAGCGCGTAACCCTAGCTGCACAGGTGGCTCAGTTTCACCGAGGGGAGGGCAGGCTGGGCTCTCACGATGCCCGTTGGGCAGCAACGACCTTGGTGGCGGCGGGGCGCATGACGGATGCGGAATGGTGGTTCCTGTTTGGTGGGGATGTGCAGGCGCTCCAAGACCTGGCTGTGACGTCACTCTCACAGCCAGTCACCTCCTCCGAGGTGGAGCGCTATTGGTCGGCGCTGGCACGTGTGCAGAGGCGCGACCGGAACCGCCTCACGGCGCAGAAGATGACTGACGTCACCTTCGTCGCCTTCACCCGGCGGGCCCGTGATGCCTTTGATCGAAAGGCAGCCCTGCGTTCCAAGCTCTATTCGGACCTGGGCAACGGCACCCTCAGGGAAGGGGCTGCCATCATCCCAGCCGAAGTGGAGGAGGAGGAAGGGGATGCTGAAGAAGAGGGACAAGTGGAGGTGGAGGAATGCACCATTGATTGGTCGGAATTTGGAAGCATCGGCAAGAAGAGGAAAGGGAAGGCGGGTGAGTCATCTAAAGGGAAGAAAAAGGGGAAGGGCAACGGTGCATGCAGTGGAAAGGGGAAAGGAAAAGCACGGGATGCGGAAGAGGAAGAGGAGGCGGAAGACAGCGGTGGGGAGGAGGAAGCGCCTGCCCAGAATCCCAAGGGACGATATGCCTGGGATTGCAGCGACGGTTCAAGTGGGGAGGATGAAGAGGAGGACGAGGACGAAGAAGAGTATGAGTAGAGTAGTGAAGGGACCTCCACATGCCAGGGTTGCAGCGACGGTTTGAGTGGGGAGGAGGAAGAGGAGGACCAGGTGCTGGAGTAGGAAGAATAGAAGGGAGGTTGAGTATAGTGGGGACGGATTTAGGAGGAATGGAGAGGCCCTAGGCAGGGACTTGCCTAGGTAGGCATGCATGCATGCATAGTAAGAGTAGCGTCATTAGCAGTAGACCTTTGCAGGCCTGTTTCTCCTTAGAGTAGGTTGTTATTGCCTTCCTAGTCATTGTTGTAGCAATTTCAGTAGATTCTGGAAAAAAATCCAGTGACAAAAAATGGCCAACAAAAAAACGGCCGAATGTTTGCCAAACACACCGTATTATACCATCGAAAAAAACGGCCCGTATAATACAATAGCCGTATTTTTGATCCTTGCCCGCACTGCTCTCAGCCGTGCTTTCAACCCCGGCTTCCAAAAGTAGGTCCTTCCTGCTTTTGCCTTTGAGGCCCCTCTAGACTCAGCAATGACCCGCTAGTAGTGCCGTGCATGACCCGCTAGTAGTGCCGTGCATGACCCGCTAGTAGTGCCGTGCATGACCCGCTGTCACATCACTGCATGCCCATGCATGACCCGCTGTCACATCACTGCATGCCCATGCATGACCCACTGCCACATCACTGCATGCCCATGCATGACCCGCTGTCACATCACTGCTTGCCCATGCATGACCCGCTGTCACATCACTGCATGCCCATGCATGACCCGCTGTCACATCACTGCATGCCCATGCATGACCCGCTGTCACATCACTGCATGCCCATGCATGACCCGCTGTCACATCACTGCATGCCCATGCATGACCCGCTGTCACATCACTGCATGCCCATGCATGACCCGCTGTCACATCACTGCATGCCCATGCATGACCCGCTGTCACATCACTGCATGCCCATGCATGACCCGCTGTCACATCACTGCATGCCCATGCATGACCCGCTGTCACATCACTGCATGCCCATGCATGACCCGCTGTCACATCACTGCATGCCCGTGCATGACCCGCCCTCACACCACTGCTCCCCTCCGTGCAGCTATCGCCTGGTGGCCCTTCGCCAGCTGCAGGTCACCAGCCCCCAGCCCTACTCCCCAGACGCGCTTAGGTAAGATGAGTGACTCATGATGAGTCTCATCACACGCGCTCAGGTAAGACTAGTGACTCATGATGAGTCTCATCACACGCGGATTGTTTTTGAGTCGACTCAAAATCAGACTCCCATTGCAAGCTGCAGGTCACAAGCCCCCAGCCGTACTTCCCAGACGCGCTTAGGTAAGCGTGATGGCTCATCAGAGAGGTCTTGATTCGGCGGCAAGAAGCAGGAGTATGGGTTGAGCTCTTAGGAAGGAGTATGAAGAGCAAGGGCGGGGCGGCAGGCAGGCAGTCCGGACTCAGGAGCCCTCCCACCCGCCCTCAGCATGGGGGCGGGGCTAAATGCTGGTTGTGAGAACTGTCAACACCAACGTGCTTCAAAACGGGCTGCAGGCTGGCAGTCCGGATTCAGGAGACCTCCCTCCCTCCCTCAGCATGAGTTTCTCTCCAAGCAAAAACCAGACCAAAACCGAATCATATCCAAGGTCTGTCAGTCAAGGCACGCCCGCCCTCCCTCCCTCCCTCCCTTCCACCCTCTCCCTGCTTCTCAAAGAGAGCCTCCTCTCCCCTGGTGCACGCCTCCCCTGGTGCACGCCTCCCCTGGTGCACGCCTGCCCTGGTGCACGCCTCCCCTGGTGCAGGCCTGCCTGCGTTTATCCTTCTCAAAAGCTTTATCCTTCCACCCTCTCCCTCATACTCAGAAACAACCTCCCCTGGTGCACGCCTGCCTTGCTGCGCTCGTCTCGCAACGAGGGCTACTGGAAGGACCAGCAGTGGCGCCCCCACGCGTGCCGCCTCAAGGCCGTTCAGCCCTCTGATGCCCTCCAGTGCTTCCACCGCAAGCAACGCGTGCTGCTCATGGGTAGGGGGGGGTGCTCATGGGTAGGGGGGGGTGCTCATGGGTAGGGGGTGCTGCTCATGGGTAGGGGGGGGGGAGGGGGGAGAGGGGGGAGGGGTGCTGCTCATGGGTAGGCAGGGGGGGCTGGGCTGTTCTTGGGTAAGGGGGGGTATGGGTAGGGAATGCGCATGGGTAAGGGGGGTATGGGTAGGGAATGCGCACAGCACGGGTACTCAGAAAGCACTACTTGTTTGGCCTTTGAGTCGACTACAGAACCCCCTTCCTTCCCACCTGTCATCTGTGCACGGCAGGCGACTCAGAGATGCGCTACTTGTTTGGCTTCCTACAGGTGTTCCTTCACGCACGCTCGCGCGCGGCCTTTGTTGAGTCCGAGAAGGTCGACATGAAGGCAAGCAAGCAACTACCGTGTGTTGCTGCCTGCATGCCTCCCTGCCTGCTGCCACACTCACCCCTCCCCTCTGCATGCCGTGTGTGTGCTATGAGACAAGTTGCTTCCTGAGAGTTCTCAACACCCAACCTGCAGCTACTTACATTGCACCCAACCTGCAGCTAGTACTTACATTACACCCAACCTGCATGCTGTGAATGAATCGATTTTTGAGTCCGCTTTTTTAGGCGCCTCAGGAACAACTAGTCACCCCCATGCATGCAGTGTCCCGTGAATGCCTTGTTTTGTACTGCCTGCTTGGTCCCTTGTCTCGTCCCATCCGCGTCCCAGCTTGCCCAGCCCTCTCTTTGCCTCTTCAAACCAACCGAAGAGGAATCTGGCTGCCTGTCTGCCCGTGTGCTTCCGGCCTGTCTGCCCGTGTGCTTCCGGCCTGTCTGCCCGTGTGCTTCCGGCCTGTCTGCCCGTGTGCTTCCTGCCGCATGTGCCTTGCGTGCGCAGGGTTTCTACGGGTTCAACCACGACTTTCCCCGAGGCTGGAGCCCGTTCAATGCGGGCGGGAGGAGAGGGTTCGAGAAGCTGTTGCGCATGCGTGTGCGCGTGTCAGTGCGTGCACCCCATCTTGCTAACACCTACTACCACGGAGCGCTCTATAACGGCTTTGTGCGTGCCAGGTGAGATGGGGAATGCTAGGCGCTATTTTTGAGAATTCTCAAAGTAACATCAACATCGAGGGCCCCTTTGCTAACACCTACTACCACGGAGCGCTCTATAACGGCTTTGTGCGCACCAGGTGAGCCATGGAGGCGAGCAGCTGTTGCGCATGCGTGTGCGCGGACCCCATTGTGTTGACACCTTCTACCTCAAATGGTGATCCATGGCTTTCCCCGTGTTTGCTTTTGAGGCGCCTCAAATGGTGAGCCATGGCGTTCCCCGGGTTTGGAGCCCCTTCGATGGCAGCGCGGGGAGTGGGTTCGAGAAGCTGGTGCGCATGCCTGTGAGCATGTCAGTGCTGCGCATGCCTGTGAGCATGAGAGCGGCATGCCTGTGAGCATGAGAGCGGCATGCCTGTGAGCATGAGAGCGGCATGCCTGTGAGCATGAGAGCGGCATGCCTGTGAGCATGAGAGCGGCATGCCTGTGAGCATGAGAGCGGCATGCCTGTGAGCATGAGAGCGGCATGCCTGTGAGCATGAGAGCGGCATGCCTGTGAGCATGAGAGCGGCATGCCTGTGAGCATGAGAGCGGCATGCCAAGCACAACTCTCTTCTTCTGTTGTCCCATTCGGGTCTTTGATTTCACTCTCAATGAGTGCTGCACCTCCCGTTGCCCTTCCCAGGTTCACCTTTGACGCGCCTCAAAAGTTGGTTTCTTTGGTTTCACTCTCAAAGAGCGCTGCACCTCCCGTTGCCATGCCCTCCCAGGTTCAACGTCAGCAGGGACGATAGGTCCTTTGTGTTCAATCTAACATACGTGGCACAGATGGGGGCGAGTCAGGAGGTGCTGCCAGCATGGATGTTCAACACGAGTCTCTTGGGAGGCGAGGTGCTGAGCCGCCCAGACACACCCTTCCAGCTTGTCGCCTTTGGCGCCTCCCTGCATGATCTCACCCTAGTGAACTCAACATTGGACTACAGGAGAGCAACAAGTGCGTGGAGGAAGGACTCGAGTCACTTTCATTTAAGTTTCCATATTTTGTTGAAATACCTACTGTGCTCGCACTCTGGCAACACGCATGCTCTAAGAGCATCTCCATTCTTCCGCGCTAAGAGCATCTCCATTCTTCCGCGCTAAGAGCATCTCCATTCTTCCGCGCTAAGAGCATCTCCATTCTTCCGCGCTAAGAGCATCTCCATTCTTCCGCGCTAAGAGCATCTCCATTCTTCCGCGCTAAGAGCATCTCCATTCTTCCGCGCTAAGAGCATCTCCATTCTTCCGCGCTAAGAGCATCTCCATTCTTCCGCGCTAAGAGCATCTCCATTCTTCCGCGCTAAGAGCATCTCCATTCTTCCGCGCTAAGAGCATCTCCATTCTTCCGCGCTAAGAGCATCTCCATTCTTCCGCGCTAAGAGCATCTCCATTCTTCCGCGCTAAGAGCATCTCCATTCTTCCGCGCTAAGAGCATCTCCATTCTTCCGCGCTAAGAGCATCTCCATTCTTCCGCGCTAAGAGCATCTCCATTCTTCCGCGCTAAGAGCATCTCCATTCTTCCGCGCTAAGAGCATCTCCATTCTTCCGCGCTAAGAGCATCTCCATTCTTCCGCTCTAAGAGCATCTCCATTCTTCCGCAGTTTCTTGTGTGCTGTTCTTTTCATGCTGCTGCACTCCTCCTCGTTCCACATTCGTATGTCCACTTTTAAAAGGTTTTGATAGCTGCTGTCTCATGTGCTCTTTGCTGTGTGCTTCCCATGGTCCCCTCCTTGGCCCTTCAGCCTTGCGCCTGCTGCCAAGCATGCAGAGGCACTTGCAGGTCGCGCGGCGGGTGACCTTCTTTGGTCCATGGGCGGCCAGAGAGGACACCAAGCCACGCTGGCTGATCTTCAAGAGCAACAACGTGCGTGGCATGGCCTTCGAGAAGGAAGCTTCCAGGTAGGTGGTGCTTCAGAAGGAAGCTTTTCAGGTTGGGTGGCGCTTTAGCAGCATGTCAATCACCTCATGTCGGACTCACATTGCTACCCAACTTAACCGCATTGAACCACTACAATCGAGCATTTTTTCGACACCATTGCACTCAATGTGACTGGACACGACATAAGGACGAAGCGGACAAGGTGGTGCGATTGCCAGCTTCTTGCATAAGTAACATTAAAAACCATCTCCTTCTGAAATCATTGATATAGTGAGGTGGTAGGAATCTGCAAATCTTTTCATTGGACGGAATGCCCGTAAAGGTAACTCCTTGCTCCCTGCTTTTTTGCTACCCTCCTATTGGTTTTTCTTCTACGGTTTTCCATGTCAGGCTGCTGCCACTCCAAGGATATGAGAGATTTGTGCCAATGACCTTTGTAACGCTTCCTCGTCCTGACTTGTCGCTTGACAGCACGCATTACTCGTGGATAGTTACCCTCGCCATGCTGGATATCTGGTTCACCACCGCTTGCCTAGAAACATAATGATTTCTATAAGATCCCCTGCACCATAACCCCCCAAATATGCACCTCCAGGTGTCTCAAAACGATCTAGAGATAGGGGTATGGATGGGTGTGTTGGGAATGTTGTATAAAAATATTACGTGTGTTTCTTTTTTAACATATCATTAGAACCATAGTTGTAAATGCAACAGCTAGTGAAGAGTACTATCTTGGACAAAGGCGAGGAAAAGGGTGACATTACGCGGCAATTACTCCACGCATTGCCGCCATGCACACCGCCAGCAGCAGGCAAAAACACAATTCACAGCCGGGCTCCGATATGAGATGACCCAGAGCCACAAAGCGTGCGATGACGACGTGCATGAGAGTCGCTAGACGCGGCGACGCAAAGAGCCGCATGCGCCGTCGTGAATTCGTTCGGCGGCCAAGCAAAGCGACTGCCTTGTTCGTAACACGCTGGAATGCCATACTACCGGGTCCAATCCGGAATCTTGCGCAACAAGAACTACCTTTCATCTCTTCACGTCCTTACGAGCTTGACTTTAGTCGGCCTCTATAAAAACGTCTGAAGCTCAGAGCGACGATACTCGGATACTTCTTTAGGTTAATCTCCTAAGAACCGAAGCACCTTCATCCAGTTATTCCAAGGCTTCTGAAACACCAACCGATTTGATATTCCTGACCCCATATTTCCGATTCATATACCCGTGCACCGCAACCCCTCATCGTTGGCAACGATGCTCGCTTCCGTGTTTACCCGCCACTCTCTCCGCAACTCGTCCTTGTGGCTACGCCCGCCGGTGGCGGGAGCTCTTCGCTTCCAACCCTCCATGCTAGCCTCTAGTAGCGAGCATGAGGGGTTGCAATTGCAACACGCGAACGAGAGTATTACCAGGGTCGATGCGGCGCGCGGTACGCGCTCCCGTTTGTATCACAAGAACGTGGTGGATCATTACAATCACCCGCGCAACGTGGGCGCGTTCGACAAGCGCGATCCAGATGTCGGCACGGGATTGGTGGGCGCGCCGGCGTGCGGCGACGTGATGAAGCTGCAGATTAAGGTGGACGCGGAGGGGAGGATCGTCGACTCGTGCTTTAAGACGTTCGGATGCGGCTCCGCCATCGCGTCGTCCTCCCTAGGTGAGCCAGTGCGGCTTGTCTCCTCGGTAACCGAGTCTTAAAGGAAGCACTGGGGTGATGCCTGTGCACCGCTCAAAGCCCTTAGTTAGCACCTCTTGCTCCTTGGGAAGCGCACTCGTAACATACTTCTTTGATACCCCGTGTGGCTGTGATGAGGGCATGCGATGAGGGCTAATGTTAAGGGCAGGTGGTGAAGGTATGTGATGAAGGCATAGCAGATGCTGCGGTGCACATGCGACAAGATGTTCTAACGATATGTTTGCTCCTCGTTTTATTCGCTTCACAGCCACGGAGTGGGTGAAGGGCAAGCACGTCGACTCGGTGCTCGAGATCACAAACAGGTGAGTTCTCGCTCTCTCTCTCTCAAGCTCTCTCTCTCTCAAGCTCTCTCTCTCAAGCTCTCTCTCTCTCAAGCTCTCTCTCTCTCAAGCTCTCTCTCTCTCAAGCTCTCTCTCTCTCAAGCTCTCTCTCTCTCAAGCTCTCTCTCTCTCAAGCTCTCTCTCTCTCAAGCTCTCTCTCTCTCAAGCTCTCTCTCTCTCAAGCTCTCTCTCTCTCTCAAGCTCTCTCTCTCTCAAGCTCTCTCTCTCTCAAGCTCTCTCTCTCTCAAGCTCTCTCTCTCTCAAGCTCTCTCTCTCTCAAGCTCTCTCTCTCTCAAGCTCTCTCTCTCTCAAGCTCTCTCTCTCTCAAGCTCTCTCTCTCTCAAGCTCTCTCTCTCTCAAGCTCTCTCTCTCTCAAGCTCTCTCTCTCTCAAGCTCTCTCTCTCTCAAGCTCTCTCTCTCTCAAGCTCTCTCTCTCTCAAGCTCTCTCTCTCTCAAGCTCTCTCTCTCTCAAGCTCTCTCTCTCTCTCTCTCTCTCTCTCTCTCTCTCTCTCTCTCTCTCTCTCTCTCTCTCTCTCTCTCTCTCTCTGCTCACCTGATTCACTTTGATTCGTGGGATTGCCAGATGGTGTAGCTATGCGATGCCGTGCTGCGTCCTGCCTACTGTGTCCGGCTGAGCAGATGCATTATGTGAACCATGTGTGCTAGGCTAGCCTTACAGGGCCTCACAGGCCCTCACGGGTTCCATGCGTACTGTGTGTGGTGGAACGATCGGCAGTACAGTACTGTCTGTACTGTGCGTTGCTTGTTCTGGTGCTACTCACCACTCACGCACTCTCGCCCATTCACTCCCCAGCGCTTCTAGCCCCATCACCCCTCACCTGCCATGTGCTGCTTCTTCTCTGGGATGCTCTCTTCCCCACAGGGACATTGCGAGGCATCTGTCGCTGCCGCCTGTGAAGCTGCACTGCAGCATGCTGGCTGAAGATGCCATCAAGGCAGCCGTGCATGACATCAAAGCCAAGCGGCAGCAGCAGTAGAGGCGGCACGAGCAGAAGCAGTGAAGCAGCAGTGAAGAAGCAGTGAAGCAGCAGCAGTGTAATTGGTACCTGTTAACCTCCGCAAATGGAGCCCGCACTGCAGCATGCTGGCAGAAGATGCCATCAAGGCTGCCGTGCATGACATCAAGGTGAAGCGACAGCAGCAGTAAAGGAAGTACGGGCAGAAAGAGTGAGGAGATGTAGACGCTGTGAAGGAGGGGGTGAAGCAGCAGTAGTAGGGACCTGTGACATCTGTTTCCCCTCACAAACAGAGCCTGCATTGCAGCATGCTGGCTGAAGATGGTATCATGACAGCTGTGAATTATATCATGGTGAAGAGACAGCAGGAGCAGAAGCAGTGAGGGAGCATTACAACTTACCATATGAAGCAGCAGTGAAGGCAGTGGAGGAAGGCAGTAATGCTGTGTTTCTGCTCATTGCAGGTTTGAAGAATCTCTAGCGAAGCTCAGTTGCTTTCTAACAATATTGCATACCGGTAATGTCGTACAGAGTGTGCATTTTGTACATAGTGAGTGTAAGCTTTTAAAATACCAAGCTGTGCGTAAGTGTGCCATCACCTACCCTATCTCCACAAGTTGAGCGCCTTGCAAAACAGTTTGATTCTGCAACGAACTTGCTATCTTGCTGTATTGAACGTGGTGGAACTAGCCCATGAAAGGGTTGCTGTCAGCCTTTAATTGATTGCAAGAGAAAGGACTCACCAAACATGTGGCTATGGTTATACATATGGCTACAAACCACATACCGTGCATCTACTTCACCTAACCTAACCTAACAAGGGCAGAGACACCCACCCATGCAAGGAATCACCAGGAATTTGCTTCCTGACTGCTCTCCACACCATAAGGTGAACCACTCTCACCACCCAACCTCCGCCTTTCTCTCCCCTTCTCACTACGACCCAACCTTCCCACCTCCCGCCCTCCCTTCACCCTGCCTACCTTCACCCCATCCCCACCACTCAACCTCCTCTTCCTCCGCCGCCGGTACGCGCGCCTCACATGCGGCAGCCCCCACGTTGCCACCACATCCCCCTCTATCTCATCCGCAGGACTGTCCCCCTTCTCACTCCCCTGCCCCACACGTCTTAATCCCTCCTCCCCCTCCCCCTCCCCTGCACCCTCTTCTTGAAGCAACCCCACAGCGCCCCCACCCTTGCCTGTTTCTGCACCCTCCTTCCCCTCCCGTTCCCCATCAACCCCATTGGGGTTCGCATCAGACACCCTTCCTCCTCCATTGGAAGCTGGCGACAACTCCTCGTCATCAGCGTCGCCCTCATTCTCACCCCTCGCATCCTCATCCCCTTCACCCGTCTCCTCATCCCCCGTATCCCCATCCCCCATCCGCATATCGCTGGATCCCTCAGAACCACCTCTCACCGCACCATCACAGCCCACATCACCATCACCGTCCCCCATTCTGCCATTCCCCATGTCTTCGTGCCGTTCCCTCTCTTCCATCCCATTCCCATTCCCAATCCCAATCTCACTCCCACCCACAACACCCACGCCCACCGCACTGCCCTCGACTCTCACAGCAGCAACCACAGGCACAGCCCCAGCTCCATCCCTTCTCAACCCACGGCTCCCATCATTCCCCTCCCTGCCGGACTCATCCCCTTCAGAAGCTTGCCCGCCCACCAGCAGCAGCGCAGGGTTGGGGGTCTCTGATCCCTCTGGCAGACCTTCATAAGTCGGGGTTTCTGTCCCCGCTCCACCTTCACATGTAACTCCCTGCCTCTCTTCCACGCCATCACCGTTACCATCACCATCTCCGCCACCACAGCCGTCTGGTTCACCTCCCACTGTCGCCCCAGGTGCTGCTGCAGCTGGGGAAGTATTTGCACAAGGTGCCCGCTCCTGCTCCTGCAAAGGTGACCCCGCCTGCTCATGTTGCTGTTCCTGCGGCCGTTCCTGTGGCTGCTTCTCTTGCTGCTCCTGTGCTCGCATCACCCCCACCTGCTGCTGCGGCTGCTGCTGCACTGCCAGCTCTTGTGACGCTGAGAGCAGCTGCGTGGGGGGCAGCTCCTGTGTTTGCAGCGCCCTCTGTGACTCTGCCTGTGACGGCTGTGAGGGCTGCTGGGATGAACCAGGCACTTGCGACTGTGACTGCCGCTGTGAGGGCATCGGGGTTTGTGAGGCACCACCAGTGGGTGGTGATAGTAACGGCCCTTGCGACTGGTACTGACCTTGTGACTGAAACTGCCCTGATGACTGCTCTGGCCCCGGTGACTGAATTAGCCCTTGGGAGTGAACCTGCCCTTGTGACAGCAGAGCTTGCGACAGCAGTTGAGTCGCCACCTGTGTCTGTGTCTCTGTCTGCCCTGCCGCTACAGCTTCCCTCTGCCCATGCGTTTCCAAATGACCCTGCGTTTCCGTGTGCCATTGCGTCTCCGTTTCTGTCTCGGCTTCCAACCGTGCTCGTAAGGTAGAACCAGCGTCACCCTTCCCAGGGCTCCTTCCCTTTCCCTTACCCACAACCCCTACCACCCCCTCCTCTTCTCCTCGCCCTGCTGCTCCGTCCCTCTCCAACCCCTCTTCCCCCTCCGCACGCTCCCCTGTCTCCTCCTCGCCCCATGCTGTGAACCCCGCTTCCAGCACCCCTCCTCGTCCAGGTGACTCACAGGTCTCGTCCAGCATCCCTCCTGAGAACCCCTCCAGCAGCCCTCCTCGCCCCCCACTGTACTCCTGCGTCTCTGCCTCCATCAGCTCCTCCAGCCGCTCATCCAACGGCCCACCTTCTCTGTTCAGCTCATCAAACCGATTATCCAACGGCTCCTCCGTCTCCCCATTTCCTCCTCCTCCTTCTTCCTCTCCTTCGTCCCTCCCTCCATCACCCATCCGACCACCACATCCCCTCCCATCTTCTTCCGACCCTCTCATCCCCAATCCTCCCTCATCATCCCCTTCCCCCTCATCCCCTCTAAAGAGCTCCCTCCGTACAAGAAACAAGCCCTCCCTTTCCTCGATCCCCTCCGCCCTAGCAACCACACTCCCCTGTGCCACACCATGTGCCTCAGCTTCACCAGAAGGCCCCTCACCTTCTACAAGGCACGTATCACCCCCTCCCACCATCCCCCCCCCCACCACTCCTCCCCCCACCGCTCCCTCTCCCACCTCAGCTTCTTGAGTCATCTCCTCATCCTCCTCCTCCCCTCCCTCCTGCTTCCCCGCAGCTCCTTCCAGCCCCTCACTTCCCCTCCCCCCAACCCCCGCCTTCCCCTCCCCTTCCCCATCCTGCAGCACTTGAAACATGCGAGTCAGCTGCTGCTGCTGCTCCAGGTGCGCTCTCAGCATCTGCTGCTGCAACTGCTGCTGCCGCTGCTGCTGCGCCTGCTGCTGCAGCTGTGCCCGCACCACCTGCTGCTGCAGCTGCTGCTGCGACTGCCCCAGAGCCGTCTGCTCCTCGTGCGCCTGCTCCATCTGCTCCTGCAAGCACGCTATGTGGTTCGCTGTTTTCTCGAATTCCCTCTTTTGAGCGTCCCTGCTAAACGCACACAGGTAACGGAGGAAAGGGGGAGGAAGGCAATATTTGAGCCGATTAAGATAGCACCTGCTGCTGCGCCTGCCCAAGAGCCGTCTGCTCCTCGTGTGCCTGCTCCATCTGGCATGCTATGTGGTTCGCTGTTTTCTCGAATTCCCGCTTTTGAGCGTCCCTGCTAAACGCACACAGGCAACGGGGAAAAAGGGGAGGAGGACGATGTTTGAGTCGTTAAAAATATCAGCTGCTGCTGCGACTGCCCCCAGTGCCGTGCCGTCTGCTCCTCATGTGCCTGCTCCATCTGCTCCTGCAAGCATGCTATGTGGTTCGCTGTCTTCTCGAATTCCCGCTTCTGAGCGTCCCTGCTAAACGTGCACAGGCGAAGGGGAAAGCAGGGAGGAGGGGAAGGGGGATGATGAGGAGGCGGTGGGTAAAGGAGAGTGATACAGGCAGGTGCGTGGAGGACCAGAGGAGATAAAAAGAGGACGTGGGTTAGGCAGCAACATTCGTAAACCGCTGACACCCTACACCCTGCATCATACGTACCGCAGCATGATGCGCTCCCTGGCGCCCTGCAGCCGCCTCTGCTCCACCGACAGCCGCATCTGCACCTTCCGAAGCTCCCCTGCCACGCCACAGGCTCTGGCCTCCGAAGCTGCCAGCAAGGCCTGGAAGAGGCTCGGAGAAAACAGCCACAGGAAGACACAAAAATATATAGTGAAGAAGCTGAGAGTATGGCTGACTTGACATAAGGGGAGTGGATGGAGGGCAGTGGAAGGAAAGATGTGTAACTGTAATTTTCACACATTAACCAATAACGAAACCAAGCAAGCATGCACAACCGCACCTGCAGTTGAGCCGCTTCGGCCTCCTTCCCTGCAAGAGAAGCCCCCATGGCAGCCACTCGCTGCTGCAGCTGCACCGCTCGCCCCCTCTCCTCCTCCAGCATCCCCTCCCCCCTCCTCGCCCTCTCATGCGCCGCCACCACTGCTGCCCGCTCGCCCTCCTGTCAGATAGCATGTGTGTGCACGGGACGCGCAGAGGCCAGGGAGGAAGAGGAGAGAGGCGAGGGGGAGAAGGCAGAGAGTAGGGAGAGAGGAGGTGAGGGAGGGATAATGAGGATGGCAAGCGGGCCACGGTGGGTTGAAGATGCAGTACAGCACATTGCTACAACATGAAGATGAGCGAACCAGCAGGAGTCTCACCAGCTTGGCAGAGAGCGAGTCAATGGCTGCCTGCCTCTCCTCGTTCTTAGCCTGCCATGGGAAGGAGAAGGAGAAAGAGAGAAAAGTGAGAAACCGAGCGAGATAGAGGTGCACACAGTGGCACTGACGTTGGCAAAGAGAAGAGAGACACAAGCAGTGGCATCAGTTTGGGCATGTTCAAGGCTGTAACTAAACGAATTCCAACAAGCCGGGTTGGTCGTGACACGGACCGTCATACCACTCACCACGAGAGCAGCAACCCTTTCTTGAAGCTCCTTCACTGCCCTCTGCGACCTCTCTGCAGTTGCTGCTAAATCAGAGACGCTTTAAAGATAGCTCAAAAGCCACACCACTCACCACGAGAGCAGCAACCCTTTCTTGTAGCTCCTTCACTGCCCTCTGCGTCCTCTCTGCAGCAGCAGCTGCCTCTGCTGCCGCGGCTGCCTGCACTCGCTCCACTGCTGCTTGCCTCTCCGCCTCCATCTCCCTCCTCTCCCTCCCCCTCTCCTCCGCCTCCCTCTCCCGCTCCCTCCATGCCCTCTCCACCTCCGCTTGCAGCCTGCACAGCAGAAGAAATACGACGATGTGAGGGGATGAGGAGGTGAGAATTCGAGGATGGGAGCAGTGAGTTACGTGTTTGTTCCTCCCTCTGGTACTGTAGGACGAATAGAAAGCCTGAATGTGGTACTGTAGGAATCCCCAACTGCACCACTCTTTAACCAGCACGCACCCTGTTTTCGCAGCTTCAGCCTCCGCCCGTGCCTTCCTCTCCACAGCCAATCGCTCGCCGACACCTGTCAGCTCCTCCTGCAGCCGCACCACCTCCCCCTCCGCCTGTTCTTGCCTGCTGACAGCGGCGTCTCTCTCCCTCTGCGCCTCCTGCACTCGCCCCTCCCACTCCTGCTGCACCTCCATCCGTGCACTCACCACACCCTGACGTAGGGATAGGTAGGAACAATAAAAACACCATTAGAAGATCGGCCTTTGAGCTTGAAAGATACTGGAAGGATCCTGCAGGGATAGTCGCCATCTTGACCCCACACACTCATTCCCCCCGCAATCACCTCCCCCACACACTCACCTCCTCATGCCGTCGCTCCTCCTGCTGTCGCTGACTCAGCATCTCGTCCATCCTGGCAGCCTCCGTATCCAGCTGCTGCCGGAGCTCCTCATTGGCCCGCCGCAGCTGCTTCATCTCCTCCAGAATTGCCACGTCAGCAGCAGGCAGTGCCACCTCAGCAGGCGAACCTGCTCCAACAGCAGCAGTAGAAGCAGCACCCGGGGCAGCAACAGGCGTGACTGGAGCAAGGGCACCTCTGCCACTGCCAGGCGCGGATGCCCCAGAACCTGCCCCAGAACCTGCCTCAGCATCAGCAGAACTATCAGGAGAAACCGAGCTCTGAACAGCACCCCTCGACCCTCGTCTCCGCTTCGGAACCCTTCCTGCTGCCATCCCCCCTTCGTCTGGACCCACTACTACGGCCTCTGCTCCCAACCCCGATCCTGGGAGCGGTGGCGGAGAGTGCATGGACAGTCGGCGCGCTGCTGCAGGGGAGGAGCGTGGAGGAGGGGGCAGCATCTGGCCTTTCACAGCGGGAGACGCCACAGGGGTGGTCGTGTGACTGGTGTCTGCCCCACGGCTTGGATTTAATGCCATGGGGCTCGAGTTAGAGGTCAAGGCGTGAGCCTTGCGCTTCACCAGCACTGTCGCTAGGTCTGCTCCGCCTGCGCCCTCTCCTTGCTCCCTCTTCACACTCACGCCGCGCATGGCGCCACTGCCTGCTACCTCTCCACCTGCTGCTGCGCGCCTGCCAGAAAATCTCCCTGCGGCAACAGGGGAGTGCAGGCCCTTAGCAGCAGCGGCGCCATTGGCAGCAGCGGCCGGAGAAGCAGGTGGTAAGAGTGCTCCTTCCACACGCAGGAAGACAAACGTGTGGGCGACCTCTGCACCGCATGGGGACAAGGCGAAACACACACACAAGGACAATGTTATGGGCGCCTCAGCAGTCGGCATGGAGACGAAATGAATCACATGCAGAGGGGCAAATGTGTGAGTGAGGGTGGTGGTCCGAGGGGGCAAAGGCAAAACGAACACTTTACGCCGCATAAACAACTCCATCTGCCGCCCACCCACCCGCCCATACACCTGCATCTGCCGCCCCACACACACACACCTGTGTCTGGTGGCCCCACGAGCGACAGCACATCGCCATGCTTGAGCTGCTGCGGGGGTCCGTTCCTCTGCAGCCGGGTTCCGTTGACGAACGTGCCGTTGGAGCTGAGAGGTGAGGGGGAGGGAAGGAGAGCATTGGGTGGGGCAGGGTGAGGAAGAGACTACTGATGCCTCAGCTGCTGCGGGGGTCCGTTCCTCTGCAGCCGGGTTCTGCTGATGTACGTGTTCCATTGGAGCTGGGAGGTGCCGCGGGGCGATGGAGCAAGGAAAGGAGAACAAAGGAATACTGATGCAGCCACGTGCGAGTGGATTGAACTTTATGTGCACATACACGCACGCACACGCATGCACCACTGACAGACACACGCACATATGCGTGCATGCATGCATGCACCGTTAGTGACTGCACGATGAGCAGCAGGCAGGGACAGCCCTGCCAGTGGACTCACCTCGTGTCCTTCACCACAACAACGAACGCCTCTCTGCTTCCCCCATCCCTCTCAGCTCCTCCTGCTGCTGCTGCCCCTCCTCCCGCCACTTCTCTCCCTGCTTCTCCCCCTCCTGCACCTGCTCTCGCTCCCCCTGCGGCTTCCTCCACCCCAGCAGGCGCTTCTCCCTGGGGGGAGGCGCGTGCCTCGCCCGCCTGAGGAGGCGCAGGGGCTTCCCCAGCGGCAGGGGGAGGCGAGGGGAGGCAGGAGATGGTGCAGTGGCGCGCGGAGACGGAGGGGCTGGCGAACTGGAAGGGCGGAGGCACCTGGCGGCCCAGCATCGTGTCGTGATTCACCAGCGGGATGAGCGGCCCCTGCATGCGATGGTCCATGGATGGAAGATCTAGAATCAGCCTGGGACGATGTAAAGGCTACAGCCTTTTGGATTAAAACAACGGGCTGTCGCTGCATATTGGCGGAGCGGTGAAGGAATGGGGAGGGCCGGAAAGGCGTCCACGTGGTGGCTGGCATACCTTCGGTCGCTGCTTCGCGTTTGCGTTAATTCCGTGGAGTACCCCCCACTGGCCACGTATGTAACACTTCGGCGGCGATTTCGCCAGCTCTTTCGCGAGCTCGTACGATGCAACCGGCGGTGAGGACGAGCACGACGGTACCCCCGCCGTTGGCGCTGCTGACGTGGCAGGCACCGCGGACCCTGGCGGTGGTTCCGGCTCATTCGCCATCCTCGCTAACGAGTGATCTAATATATGCCTACTACCTCGCGCTGGACCGGCTATCGATGCTGGAACGCTTACGGGTGATGATTCTATAACCGGCGTTCTGGGTTGTCGGGGAACGTTCAGACGTGATGCTATTCTGCTGAAAGGACTTGATTCATGAGCGTCGACCGACTGGCGTGAATGATTCGTGAAGCTATCGTCTGATGCTGATGGAAGAGAAGAGGAAGCGAACGGACGACGAGAAAAAATGGCCATGATTTACGCTAAACGGACGTTTTCGCTCTATTGGGTCGCGTGAAATAGTCTTGTGCCAAACTCGCACTCCGTTGAAATACATTTTGAGTACTTTCTGGAATCCAAGAAAGAAGCGTCAAGGCTGTCGAATTAGCGTCAAGGTGACGGAGAGCGGGAGGCCTCAGGGAGAAGCTATGCGTTGTGTTGCTTGCGCTGATGCTGAGGGGAGGTGTGAGGTATGTCCAAAGCTTGGAGAGAAGTGATTGCTATGACACCTGAATGCCACTGCTTGCATGTGCTGAATCGCAGAGAGCGAGGCTGGTGTCAGGAGTCGTACATTCATGAAGATCCCGTGGCGTGAAGCTAACGTCACTATCCTTTCCCGCCAATTTCTGGGTGTAGCGTCGACAGGATAGGAGATGTACAAAATGTTATAAACAAAAAACAATTAGCTTAATCCCTAATATATATTGTTTCTAACGAGGATGTGATGCGTCACATGGCTGTGCCATCCTCCGCCACCTGGACATAGCAAATCTTCCCATATCTCCAGCTTGGAAAGTTGTGCTCTCCGCCAATACCGAAATTCCACCTCTCACTAGCTCGCGGCGACGAGATGAACCATGAATCATAGTGACACAATCGAGGGCAGCGACCGGGAATGATCAGCCACTCTGCGGGGCGAATTTCGGTGATTTCCAAGTTTCAAGGCCAGAAGCAATCTGTTTCACTGTCATTCCTGATCGACAATTTCGAGGTTCAGCTCACTGAAGTCAGGATTCTCGATCCTGATTCTTGAGCAAACAACTGACCTTGAGGAAGAACCAGAGACACTTCACCTCTCAGAATCCGAGTTTCAGGAGTTTCTCTCAAGTGTCAGCCATGGCTTGCACCGCGTCGACCTCCGCTCTCTCGTGCACGGCAGTCGTCGCATTGACGCCACAAAGCGGCGCGACACGGTATGCCGAAAGCGATGCTCTGATTACATTAGAGACAGTTTATTCTCGTTAGTAGCCTTCGCTACGTGTATTGCAAGTAGTACCGCAGACACACCCGCCGTTTCATATATTCTTCGTCCATTTCCCGACCTGCAGGACAGCTGCAACTCTCAGCTGCAAGAACGCTTTCGGCAGCAGCCTTCGCCTGACAAGCCGCTCGCGGGCCGCGAGGCCTCAGTCGCAGCGCCGCGTTGCGGTGGTGTCACCGCGAGCGGTGGACATTCTGACGTGGGACGAGGCGAAGGAGGCGGTGGATAAGGACGGCTACACCATCGTGGATATTCGTGACGTCACGCAGTACGATCGCGCCAGGATCCCCGGGAGCGTTCACATTCCCGCGTTTATCCTAAACAACGACAATGACGTGGGTATGTCAATTTGCCATACGTTGTCCGCGCCAAAAAATCTAATGTTTCTTCCTTTTAATTTTAAACATTCTCCGAAGCGTTTCATCAATCAGTGGGGGTAACATTACTCGAGTTCAACACTTTCCGCGCATTCCCTTCTCTCCGCCAGGAACGCTGATTCGACGGGCGGCTCACACGAGCATGCCCGGCAATCTGTACGGGCTGGCGTTCACCAAGCCCAACCCGGACTTCGTCTCCACCATCCGCACCAAGTTCCCCTCACCTGACGCCAAGATCCTCTTCGTCTGCCAAGAAGGCCTCCGGTAAGTACATAAGTACGTCTCGATTATGCGTTCTGCTGCAAGTGTTCCTCAACGGAAGGCGAAGAAGAGAACGAGGAAACTTGTCCCTAGTTGAAAACCCTTGGTTTCCGTCGATTATGTGAAGCAAAATCTGAATTATTTACCATTTCAGGTTTTCAATCTGAGCCTTGATTTCGCCACCCTTATCCGCCACTGCTCCTCAGCTCGCTCTCCGTGGCGGCGGACCTGGAGAGGCTCGGATACAGCGACGTGGTCGTCACGTCGGGACTCAACAAGCTCAAGCCAGGTGAGCGGCGTTTCGCCAGAACCTAAGAATGACAAGCCTATCAGGGCGGAAATCCAAATCACGGTCCACTGATCACTACGAATTTCGTGTGTTTTATGCCTTGATGTTGTTCGGTTTGATCTCATTCTGCATCTGCTGTTCCGTCTACTCATTATGCTGCAGGAGTGTTCCCCAAGGAGGGCGAGAGGGAGCTTCAGAACGCAGGAAAGGGAGGGTTTGTTTCCATTCAGAAGGAATTCTCCATCATTCTCGGGTCTATCCTCATCTGTAAGTACCATGGCCTTTGCTGCATTGTATTTACAATGACAACTAACATCGTTCTGCCTTTCATTGCACTGAATGCGTTTGCTGATGTCACTTCGACACATTCATGGCGGAGCAATTGTTGTTGTTACGGTCTCCCCTTCCCTGTAGCCAAATGTGTCTTGTCCTCTCACAGATTGGCCCTCCCTTGCACTGCATGCGTCGCTTGCCTTCATCGCGTGCTCTCCAACCAATGTCCCTGCCACATCCCTGCAGGCGCCATTCTCTTCCTCAAGTTCTTCCCAGAGCAGGCTGAGGTCATCTTTGGCGGCCTGTAAAGCTCTCCAAGACACTGCGTTGCAGCTGGTCCTGCTCTCACCTTAGACTTGTACCGTACTAGTAGGAGATTTTGTGTATACTGAAGCAAGCAATGTACCTTATTCGACCAAAAGCCTTCTGTCAACAGCACTTGGCAGCCCACTTTGAATTGTACTTCTGGAAGATTGTGTCTACTGTGAAGCAATGTCTTCTGCCTATAGCTTGTTATCAACAGCAGTACGAAGCACCTCCAGACATTTAGAAACAACTCAGGAATGCTAGAGGAGAGGTTATGAGAAAAAGGATGACAACATGCGTCTATTCATGTGTTCCATTATCTTATTGTGTCCTTCGCTAGTGTACCTCCTCTGGCTATTCGAACAATGAAAAGTTATCAGATCAGTGGACCCAGCGCGTGTCAGAATATCAGATGCTCGGCCCAATAAGCGACGAGTAACAACAAAGGTTCGAGATGTCAGATTACAATTGTATCTCTAGGCTACAGTAGGGTCACTCCTTAGTGAGTACAACACTTTAGGATTAGGTTTCCCCTACTTGTACTCACCTCTTGCCTAGTTCTATTCTTGACATGTTATCAGAGTAGGAACCGTTCCTACATGGGCCCACCGTTCCGCCTAGTGGTAGCGCCACGCCCTACACAGTAGCCAGCGCGCTGGCGCCCCTAGCTCTCACTGTCGCGACCCTTGCAGCCCGTGCGCTGCCCCTGCGACCGCGCTGCCCCTGCAGCCGTGCTCGCCCCTACGACCGTGCTGCCCCTGCAGCCGTGCTCGCCCCTGCTACCGTGCTGCCCCTGCAGCCGCGCCTGCCCCTGTGGCCCGCGCGCTGCTCCTGCAGCCCGTACGCTGCCCCTGCAGCCCGTTCACGCTGCCCCTGCAGCCCGTTCACGCTGCCCCTGCAGCCCGTTCACGCTGCCCCTCCAGCCGCACGTCGCCTCTGCAGCCCGTCCGCGCGGCCCCTGCAGCCCGCGCGTCGCCCCTGGAGCCCGCGCGCCGCCTCTGCAGCCCGTCCTCGCGGACCCTGCAGCCCGCGCGTTGTCAAACATATGTTTATATATGTTTCAGTTTAGGTAGGCTTAGTGGGGTACTCTCTGTGGGGTACAACCCCTTAGGCTTTTCCTTGTTGTACCAACTCTCTCGATAGTTCAAACCACCTTGCCTAAGCTTTAACATGGCATCTAGAGCATAGGTCCTTAGGACCTAGGATTAGGGCCCACCGTTACCTATTTCGCCTCACTAAGAACGTACCTACCCGGCCTAGAGCCCGCGCGCGCCTCGGTTGCACGCGCGTGGCCTTTTTTTTCCCGCGCGTGCCTCTTAAGCAGCCCGCGCGCCTCGTTTTAGACCCACCCGCGACGCCCGTTCCGGCCCCGCCCGTGCGCCCCTTACGCCGCCCGCGCGCAGCCTGCTTAGGTTACGCCCGCGCGGCCCGTCGCTGCACGCCGCACGCAGTCGCGCGCGCTGCCCGCCGCACGCGCAGCCAGGAGCCGCGCGCAGCCTGTCGCCACGCGCAGCCGGGAGCCGCGCGCAGCTCGTCGTCGCGCGCAGCTAGCAGCCGCGCCCAGCCCTCAGCCGCACGCAGCAAGCAGCCACGCGTGCCCTGCTCGTGTGCCTGCCTGTGCGGCTTGCTACTGCCGAGCCCGCTGCCTTAGGGTTGCACGGCCTGCTACTGTCTAGAGCGCCACCTTAGGAGCTCGATTGCGGCCTGCTACTGCCCAGCACGATGCCTGTGTTGCCTACTGCCTACTGCCTCTGTCTGAGCCTGCGGTCTACTGCCTGCTGCCTCCTGTCTACTGCCTGCTGCCTCCTGTCTACGGCCTGCTGTCTCTGCCTTTGCCTGCGGCCGATATGACGACGCCTAATGTTCTTGCGTTCGAGCCTGACGG